GCATGATCGCAGGCTAGTACAAGTGATCTGGGTGGTTGTACAGCAGCCCAGATAACTTGAAGTTGACAAGCTGACTCAGCTTGACATCATTGGTTGCTAGGCTGCCAGTGGTCCTAGCAACCAATGACTGAAGCGGAGGAAGGCCCTGCACTAAAGCAATAGCTGGCAGTGGACACACCGGCCTCGGAGGCCAGTGTAGGGCTGCAACAACTAATCGACATAATCGATTATTGAAAAAGTTGTCAACTTTTTCAATAATCGATTAATCGGCTTCCGATCAGTTGGCCCTGTACACAGCTCCACACACGCTGCACCTCCTCCCCACCTCACACTCGTGGCTGCCAGACCCGCCCGCCTGCATCCACGCTCTTCACGCCGGACCTCCTCCCCGCCTCACACTCACCGCCCCCCCACATCCACGATTGGCACAGGGACGCGGGGAGATGTAGTAAGGAGGAGCAGGTGTGGGGGGATGACAGCCGCTGATAGACAGGTCCGATCTCAGAAGCAAGTTGCTGGAAGACTGCTCAGGTAAGCCTGAATTTTCCCACACATGGTGCTCTATAATGTATTGCTGGGATTTGTATTCCTCTATAGCTGATGGTACATTGTGCTGTATATTATACAAAGGAATACAAATCCCAGCAATACATTATACACTGTATGTATAATGTATTGCTGGGATTTGTTGTATTCCTATATAGCTGGTGATATTCTGCACTGCGCTGTATAGAGGACTACAAATCCCAGCAATAATACATTATACAGCGCAATGCAGAATACCACCAGCTATAATGTACTATTGCTGGGATTTGTTGTAGTCCTCTATAGCTGGTGATATTCTGCATTGCGCTGTATAATGTACTATTGCTGGGATTTGTAGTCCTCTATAGCCGGTGCCATTCTGCATTCATTGCTGTATAATTTTACACTTTCCATTTCACTATATTGCACACCACACTATTTTTTTTCTTTTTTACTTCCACCGCTCCAAGCTTGCTCCTGTGACGGAGTGCAATCTCAATAAAACTAGTAGTCCATCACTGGAGCCATTTTTTAAAATTTGTTTTATTGTTTATCCGATTAACCGATTAATCGAACTTAATAATCGGCTAACTAATCGATTTTGAAAATAATCGTTAGCTGCAGCTCTAGGCCAGTGTATCCACTGTCAGCCAGCCATAAATCAGGGCAGGTCCGTAATCACAGTCTGGAAAGAACTGCCACTCTGTACATGTCCGGACCATGGTTCACCATCTAGGGGCTCAAATAAAAGAAAAATATACTTAACTGATCCTCGATCCTGCCTGGCTGCTAGACCGGTCCCTGCAACCTCTTCTCCCCCCCCCCCCCCGCCCCCCCCCCACACGCCGGCAG